CACTTACATAACCAGGAAAGCTCACAGCATTCCAACACTGGGAGGAAAATGGGATTTTTTGGCTAGCAGAGCAGCAGGTGAATGACATCCTGACTTACACAGCCATGAGAAACTCACATCGCTACAACAGCACACAGGCATCCACAGGTGTCCAGCAGCATTCCCAGGATCCTTGTCTTAAACAAAGGTTAAGGAAGGGCTTTTCTAAGAGGGAATCATTGCTAAAATGGCAGAGGAATTCTCAGGAAATTCAGCACACACAATGGGAAGAGACTTCTTTGGAAGCAGCAGGCCCAAAGCTCCACACAGGAGTGTTCCCTGCCCCCCCAGCTCTGTCACACTCCTCACACAGCAGTAAAATGGGAAAAAGGCAAATACTGGCAAAACACGAGCAAACCCACAAATACTGAAAGGAAGTCCAGGAGAAGGGAGTGAGAGGTCTCTGTGCAAACAGGAATCTCATGCAGGCTAAATCCCAAATTGCTTTACTGCAATAGGTCAGAGCTGTGTTACCACAAGAACTTCTTAGGAGGAGGAACGAGGTCTAATAATGAAAGACTTCAAGATTTGGAACACCAACTCTTTGGCTTTTTATTGGCTTCAGGAGCTGCACTGCACCAGCCACGTGGGTCCTTTCCAGCTCAGAATATTCTGTGGTACCTGAGGTCTGCTCAGCCCTTTTCATCCTGCCAATCCCAGAGGCAGAGCTGCAAATTCAGGGAGCAACCTGCACCTAAAGCAGGTCCACACAAGAGGCAGCATCCCAGGAAAATGTGGGATGTGGCCATTAGCCGGCCCCAGTTTTCCATGGAAGATTCTGACTTCCTGATGGAGGAATCAGATCTTGTACCAGTGATGGGGCTCAGCCAAGGCTGGTTCTCTGGAGGCTGCTGGGGGATTCCAGCAGCTGCTGGGGAAGGGTCAGGGGAAAGAGCCCTCCCAGCCCTGCCCCACTCACCGTGCGGTCCTCCAGGTACATGGTTTTGGACAGGAAATCAATTCCAATGGTTGCCTGGAAAGAGGAGAAGCATTAGGAGCTGTGACTTGCCTCCCAGCATCCCCTTGCTGCACAAACTCTCAGAGATGCTCACAAACTTGCTATGAAGCTGGTGAAGTGATTTGCCTTCAATCGCCTTCAACTGAAGTGACAAAAACAAAGCAATCTGGGGATCTGCAGCAGCTGCATTTCACAGCATTCCTCAACACTTCTCAGCTGCACAAGGGCCTCTGAGTCTGGATTTTAACCTCAGACATTCCTGTATCTCCACACAGATTGTATCTGAGCTGGCAGCTCCTTTTGGCCTGCCCCAATTCAATCTGGTAAGAGTTATCTTGTTAGAAATACCCAAAAGGTAGAACAAATGAGATCTATAAAATATGGGCAGCTGAAAGCTAAAAAGCCATGTTTATCCAGGCCTTTCCACTTCAGAATGTGCTTCTCTTCCAGTGACATTCAGCAGCTTCATTTCCCAGGCAGGTCTGCATCCACTCCCATTCCCACTGCCAGAGCAATTCCAGCACAAAGGCATTTAAAATAATGCACTAAGTTAGGTGCACTCCCAGGCACTCCAATCAAGGACTGTCCCAGCTCATCAGAACTGCAGGAAAAAGGAGAGAGCTCCTGATGTACCAGATTTGAGAGTTTTAGGCACATTATCCCCACTCTTAACACTCACAGGTGAATGTGTACCACTGGACAATTGTAAAGAGCAACACAGTCAGTTTTGGGAGGGAGAATTTATTTCTGGGAGGTCTATTTTCCAACCAGGCCATGGCTTATAACAACTACAACAAACAATAAATACATCTATGAGAGCATCTTACAAGAGTCAGGAAAAGAAAGGAAGCACAGGAGAAGAAAAAGCACAGGAAGCACAAGAGAATCCAGTTTTCAGTGACTTGTCCTCAACTTCAAATCACCCCAATCTAACCCAGTAACTCTTCCAGGCTGAATTAAAAGATAAAACCCTAATCTCACCTTCTTTACAGATATTTGATATTCCCATGAAATACTTCTGAGTGCCTTTGATGCCATTAATTCTTCCCCAAACCTTCAGGCCTCTTACACATCTTCTGCTTTTCATCTGCAGCCTCTTCATCCCCACCCCCCTCTTTGCCTGCCAAGACTTCCCTGGCTTTTCCTATCTTTAGTCCTTCAGTCAAAAAATAGTAATAAAAAAATTGAGAGACAGAATATACCAAGCTGACTTCTGGCAGATCCATCTACACACTCCAGACTCAACTATCCTGACTGAAATGGAAGCTCTAAAGATAACAGAGACTGAGAATGTCAGAATATGTTGGGTTTTTATTCATTCTCCATTTCCTGAGGCTCTCATATCCAGCACCAGAAATCCTGACCATAAAACAACTTCTCCCCATTTTCCTCAAGGCTTCTCACAGGATCTATCCCACATCCAAAGGGGATCTAAACCTTGTTCCCTGTCTGGACACAGCACTTCCTGACATCACACTGGATGCTTTGATTTACCATTTTACAGCACATTTTAACCTGATTATCTGATCTTGAACTGACATCTCATGGAGAAATGGGCTCCCAGGCATCCATTTGAACAGCAGGGCATGGATTCATTAATATAAATATATTTTAAAAAAGCAAATAAATACTATCACATACCTGGTAAGTATTGTCAAAACTGTCATACATAAACCTGGTGATCAGGGAGGTCTTCCCAACTACAAGAGAAGAGAAAAATTACTTTCAAGCAGCACTGGGGGTGGGGGGGGAAAATAGCACTGCTTTGGGAGTGGCACTGATGTGACAGCAGCTGCCAATCTCAGGCCATTCCAGCTACACCTTCCTGGGAAACAGCCAGCTGGAAATCTCAGTCCCAAAATGACAGAGGCAGATCAATCTCTGCAGGTCCAAACTTAATCATGGAGATGACCTGGCCCTCAAATCAGGTGTGTTGATAACAAAGAGCCGCTTGTTTGCTTTGGGCAAGCAATAAATCTGCTTTGTTACCCTGCTCTGCTCCTTATGTAATCCCCAAGTCTGGGGCATAAACATCAAAACAAAGCAGGTGATATCCCAGATGCTGTTCTGCTGCCTCTGGCTGCGTGGAAAAGCAATATTCCACACTCCCATCCTTCCTTTGTAACAAGATTTTAGATACAGAGCAAACTCTGGTGGTTTGCCTCAAAACTTTAAATTTACATCTCCAAATATCATCGAGACAAGGTGCAGAACTGATAAGAAGTGAAAAACAAAGATAAAGCTCCAATTCTGGCTCAGGAAGCTGGAGGAAGCCAAGAAAAATTCAAAGGACATGGATAGAAGAGGAAAGAGGAATAAATTGCCTAAAAAGGTTGTGAAATTACGAACATTGGAGAGGGTTAAAAACAGATTAGACAAATGTCTGTCAGCAGCAATGTCAATCCTGCACAGGAAAGGCTGTGAAATCAGAAAACTTCTGGAAATCCCTCCACGACCTCCAGTTCCAGGCTCGAGGAGAAGGTGAGGAGCAAGAACCCCACGATGGTTTGGGTTGAAGGGACCTCAAAGCTCATCCAGCGCCACCCGTGCCGTGGGCAGGGACACCTCGCACAGCCCAGGCGGCTCCCAGCCCTGTCCAGCGGGCCTTGGGCACTCCCAGCGCCAAAACACCACGGTTCCAGGGAAAACGCACACCTCACCCACCCACTGCCGGGAAGGGGCGCAAAAGGGAGGCCATTTGAGGCAAAACAAAACCCCCGCGGCCGCGAGAGAGCGAGGAAGGGAGGGAGGGAGGCCGCGGCCAAGGGGGCAGCGCAGCCCTGGGGCCGCCTCCCCTCACGGGCTGCGGGCGCACTGCGGGCCCGGGAGGGCGGAACGGAGCCCCGGCCGAGGGGAAGGGCCGGGAACGGGGATCCCAGCCGACGGGAAGGGCCGGGAATGGAGCCCCGGCCGACGGGAAGGGCCGGGAACGCAGCCCCAGGCCCCGCCCGCGGAGGCCTCAGGCCGGGCCGCCCCTCCCCGACCCGCGTCCCCCACCCCGGGCACGGCCCCGCAAGGCCCCGGGCGCTGCCCCCGCCCCGCCCGGTTCCACCCGGCGCTCACCGCTCTGCTCGCCCAGGAAGACGAGCTTGAACTTCCTGAGCGGGTTCCCGAAGTCGCCGCCGCTGCCGGGCGCGGACATGGCGGCGCGGGGGGGCCGAGCGGGAGCCGTGATGGGGACAAGGAGACAGCGCCGAGCGCCCCGGTACCACCGCCCCGCGCGTCACCTCCGCCGCGTCACCGCCGGCCCGCCCCGCGGGGAGGCGCGTCGCCCCGGCGACCGGAGGAGGGACGCGGCCATGGCAACGGCGGGGGCCGGGCTGCCGGGGAGGGCGGTTGCCATGGCGACGGGAAGGGGTTGCCATGGCGACGGGGAGGGCGGTTGCCGTGGAAACCGGGCGGGCTCCGGGGCGAGGATGCTGCGGCGCGTAGCGGGATGTGCCCGGGCGGTGGCGGGGGTGGCGCAGCTGGGACGGAGCCGGGGGTAGCTTGGCTGGAGCCCGCTGTAGCGGGGAGGGTTGGAGCAGGGTGGGTCTGCCTGTACCGGGGTTGGACTGTAGGATCCAGCCTGCGGCTGTAGCAGGATGCAGCCAGCCGTAGCTTGGATGGGCCCGGCTGTACCGGTTGGGAGTGGCTGCACCACGTCCTGCAGCACCTCGTCCTGCAGCACCTCGTCCTCCCCTCCCCTGCACAAAGGCAGCGTGTGCTCCCCCCCAGCCAGCACAACACAGAGCCTGCACCGGGCCACCGGGTGGGTTTATTGGTATCAATGTCACAGAGCTGTGCACAACATGTCACGGGCAGGTGACAGCCACGCTGGTGACGCGCTCGGTTGGGGCCATTGCATCCCGCCCTGTCCCTGTCCCTGTGCTGGCACCCAGGGGAACAGGGAGCACCGTGGGCTTGGCAGCGTGGCGGGCCCAGGGAGCTGCAGCAGCTCTCACCACCACTACCAGGGCTTGGAGTGGGTGGGGAGGGGGGACCTATGGGGACTGTGGGGGGCTGAGGGGGCTGTGCCACGTGTGGCACAGTGGGGACACTACAGGTGGCTGTGTCCCAAAGTGGGGCGTGGGGGGCCGGCAGCTTAGCTCTCCTCTTTCTCAGCTTCCTCCTTCTCATCTTCATCATCCTTCTCTCCCTTGAGCTTCTGGCGAGCAAATTCCTCGATGACAATGTCCTCCTCGCTGGAAGGGAGAGCAGAGCACAGTGAGCCCACAGGAGGAGGGGAAATCCCTGCTGAGCCCAAGCCCTGCTCCTGGTGGGGACAGCAAGTGGTGACTCCAGCCCTGTCACCCCACTCAGAGCAGGTCACTGTGAGCACAGCCTAGCCCCAGCACACAAACCCAGCCCATCACTGTGAGCCTGCCTGACCCAAGGAGCTTGGCCTGCAGCTTCTGCTGTTTTTTCACACAATATTTTGCATTTCCAAGGGAAAACAAAGAGCTGAGTTACCTCCTTGAGAAAGGCGAGCAGTGAGTGCCAGCAAGGGAGAGCACAAAGTAAAAAGTGGGGGAGAAAACAGAAAAAAAAAAAAGAGTCAGCAAAAGATATTCCAAAAGCTTGGGAATGTGAAATGATTTGGCAAAACCTACATGGAGCCATGGCTGATAAAGACCAAGAGATTTCCTCTTTGGAAGTTTAAGTGCTCTCACTGAGCTGGGAAATGGATGGTGTGAAAGGGCTAAGTGTGAAAGCCTGGACTGCAGCCTGGTTTTCCAGGCCCCAAATCCCAGCGCTCACATCCTGCTGCAGGCTGTAACCAGACACAAAACCTTGGGCAGGGCCACGGCTCTCAGGAATGGGTTTGGCACTGCAGCTTCCCAGAGGAAAGAAGTCCCAGCTGTGGCTTCAGCTGGAAGAAGCTGGTTTGGGAGGAGAAGAGGCCTCTGGGGAATGTGCAGGGACACAGGGATGTGGCTTCCAGCAGCCCAGGGAACTCTGTGTGGGGACCAAGACCATGGAGACATCTTCTCCAGTGATGGCACTTGTGGCTGGAAGACACTGCCAGCTGCTTCTGAGGGACGGGGCAAGGCCTGGGCTTGCAGCTGCTGTGGCTGCAGCAAAGGGAATTGTCAAATAAACCCTGGGAGTTTGCAGAACACATCGCAATCCCAGGATTTGGTCTCTCCTGCTGCCTCTGAGAGTGGCTGCTGTGACACAGGCTCAGGGCTTTGGGACCTGGGTGGATTAATCCAAGGATGTGAGCTCAAGGTGGGATGGCACATCCATCTGTGATGGATCTGTGTGGTTTGTGTGTTAGAGGGAACATCTCTTTACCTTGGCTTAGCTGTATTCCAGTGATTAGCACAGGGAGAAAGGGATGGGGAAAAGAAAAGAGAAAAGGTTAATACGGAAAGGACATTTCAACTGACAGCTCTTCTCAATGCTTGGGTGTTTTCCTGGAAAGAGGGAGAGTGGGAAGGGTGCTCTGGGGAGGACACCTCCCACCCTGCTCCAGGACACAGGATGGGTGCAGCACAGCTGGACAGCTGTGCCCATCCCATGGGAAAACTGCCTCAACCCTGCTCCAGCACAGCTGGACAGCTGTGCCCATCCCACGGAGGGCACAGCAGGGCCTTGGCACTGGGGCAGCTGCCCCAGAGCTGTTTTCACCAGCTCCCCCCTGAACCAGAAGTGCCTCTTTCCCGCTGGTTTTCGGCAGCATCCCACACACAACTCACAGTCATCAGGCTTCGGGTGCATGAGGATGACGGGCATCTCCACCCCAACATCACTGCAAGGAAAAGCAGCTCTGTCAGGGATCCTGCCCAGCACAGCCCCACTCTCAGCCCCACAGGCAGCTCCCCTTACCTGGCAGTGAGATCCCCCAGGATGCTGTGGCAGCAGGAGAGAAGGGACAGAAATGAGCCAAGGCAGAGCAGGGGAGGTGTTAGACTCTGCTTTATACTGAGCTGGAAGGTGGTTGATAATAGATAGAGGTGGTGGGGGTCAGAGAGCAGCCCAGTGACCCCAGGGGAGCAGGGCAGGGATGAGGGGGCCCGTGGTGTGAGTGGCCTCTCATTTCCCTGGGGTACAAACCCCCCAGCACAGCCCGAGCTGATGATCCCTGATTGCCCTGCCCACGGAGCCTCACCCTCCTCGGGACACCACCAGGTTGACCTTCACTTTGTAGGACACCAGGATGCCCAGCACCTCCTTGTCCATGCCAGGTCTCAGGCTAGGAAAAAGGCAGAGGGAGACAGTGAGAGGACAGTGCTGCCTGCAGACCCTGTCCGCTCCCCCCACGGCAGTACCAGGGTTTATTTTTGTCCTATAACATGTGAGATGCACTGGGGTTTAGTAGGGGAGGAGAGCAGAAAAGGGGGAGGGGATTTGGGTGAAGCCACAGAGAAGCTTCTGGAGGCCCCTTCCAGCCCTGCAGAGGGATTCAGGAGCTTTGAACAACACTGGAACTGGGAAGCTACATCTCTCCTACAGAATGGAGAGGTGACAATGTCACAAAATCTCTACATTTTCCAGCTGGATGGGGTGGGCTCAGGGGCCCTTGCTGGGAGCCCAGAGCAGGGGGAAGTGGGGGAAGGCGTGGTGGGGAGCAGGGGGAGCCCACGCAGCCCTTACATGGTGGTGGAGGCCAGGTTGGTGTCCTCGTGCTTGAGTTTGCCATCGAGAGCGAGGCCTCGCTTCTGGCGGTTGGACGAGAGCAGGGGGGTCACCGAGTACGTTTTGGAGAAGGTGGAATTGGCAGCCACAGTCTCACTGGAAGGGTGGGAGAGAAGAGCTCAGAGCCAGCCCCAGCCTGGGGGTGCTCAGCATCACTGCAGGCACCCGCACAGGGCCAGCCCTGCCCTCCCCATGCAGCTGCTGGGCCATTTCCTCCTTTCGTTCCCTCCTCTCTTTCGCCTCTACAACCACTTCTTTTTTCTCCCCGCCACCTTTGCTCGCTCCCTCCTAGTTCTCAGCGGGGCAGAGGCTGTGTCTGGCCTCAAAAATGCAAAGTGAGGAGTTGAAGAAGCCTGGGAGCAGCTGTGCATCTTCCCCAGGGACCTTCCCAGCCACCACCGGCTTGTGCTGGTGGGATGTGGTCCACGGCCTTCCCTGTCCTCTGCTTCCTCTGCACCTGCTTTCTAACCCAGACATTTTTGCTGCTTGGTGTAAAACTGTCACATCCTCTGTCCCCATCCTCTCCCACCCTCCTCCTCTTCCTCATTTCTCTTCCTCCCTCTCAGAAATGCCACTTCACCTCCGGCCCCTCATCCCTTACTTTATCTCCTCGATGCACACGGGCTTCGTGTATTTATCCAGGGAATACAGGACCACGTCTGTGATCTGATCCACTGGGGACAGACAAGGGGGAGCCGTGTTGGTGACGTGGCAGGGGTTCACGGTCCCCATCTCTGTCAGGGATGAGTGCTGGGACATGTCCCTTCTTTCCCTCTCTCACCTGAGATCTTAATTTTTTTCACAACCTTGTTGGTGGTGTTGTTGATGTTGACGGTCACGTTGATGGGTTCTCCGTGGTAGTAGATCTGCAAGGGGAACAGGCTGAGTGACGTGACCAGGAATCCTGATCCCCATCCCTGGCAGAGGGGACAGTGTCCCTGCTGACCTCCCTGTCCAGGGAAGCCTCGAGGTGCAGAGGCTTGTCTGACATCATGAACTGCCGGGTGGTCTCGGCTCTCGGGGCCGGTCCCGTCTGCAGCGGGGCGAACTGCACCTTGCGGATGATGAGGCGCACGGAGTTCCTGTGGGGACACAGGTGGCACCCCAGTGTCCCCCACAGCGTCAACAAGGGGTCACAGGGGCTCTCTGGGGACTTCACAGTGTCTCCAGGCAAAGGGTGAGCGTTTCACCTGGCTCTTAGGATGTGACACAGGGACCACTGCCCCAGTTTCAGGCAGAGTTCCCCATTCAAGCATGGCACAGGCTGACAGAAGCCCCTCAGCCTGACCCCTAAGACGGTCACCCCAGAAAGATCCTGTGGTTTAGTTTTAGGGCCAAAAGGCGGGAAAGGGATCCCCTGAAAATACCTCTTGTGAATTTTCTCCTCCAGATTTTCAGCACAAAATCCTTTGACCTCGAAGTCCACACCGCAGGCCTGGGGGAACACACATGGTCACTGAGCAGGAGGGGCTCACAGCTGCCTGAGCTTTAGGTTCCTTGTCTTCCTTCCTTCCTTCCTCCACTGCATTCCCAGAGATCCTGGCACTGACTCCAGCCGTCCTCCCTTCCCACCCCTCACCCCAAGGGCCATGAGAATCAATTCTCATTTTTAGCACCCCACAACCCCTTCCCAGGGAGGATGGTCCAGGGGACACTGGCTGGGGACAGCAGCTCACCTTTCCCACATCATCTGGCCCGGGCTGGAGAGTGATGGAGCAGGGCAGGTTGGTGGCAATCTGGCCAGAGCAGGGAAAGAGAGAAAAAAGAGAATAAAGGACATGTTCAGAGCTGAGCCCTGGTAACACCAAGGAGCCGGGAGGGGCTGAGCAGCCCCTACCTCAAAGGTGAAGGGGTAGGCGTTCTCCCCAAGCTTCTTCATCAGCTTCTCCTGCAGAGGAGTGAGGGTTTTGGGGGCCTGGTCTGGCACGGGCGGGTACAGCTGGGTGGTCAGCACGTAGATGTCCTTCCTGAAGGTCAGGCCGATCACGTCGAGGTCGTCGCGGCCGTAGCGGAAGGCGCAGGTCAGCGTCACATACACTGAGCCAGGCCAGGGACGAGGGCAGGGAGGCAGGGGAGGCACAGGGGGTGAGTAAAGAGGCAAGAAAAGCTGTTCAAAAACTCTTCAGCACAAATGAGACTTGCTCAGATATTAACATGACCAGGATCCCTCGTGTCCTTTGCTGCATGGCCCTGATGGACAACGAGCTGGAGGTGACACGGAGCAGCTTTAACCTGGGCACAGCCCATGGCTGCTGAGCTTTGGGCTGGCTGTAGGTGACACGGAGCAGCTTTAACCTGAGCACAGCCCCGGGCTGCTGCTGAGCTTTGGGCTGGCTCCATCCCCTCCCCTCACGCTGTATTTCTGTATCAATACCTTTCCTGTCCTTCAGGTACTCCGGGTCGATCAGGCAGACACCATCTGCAAACAAGCAAAAGGAGAAGGACTGGTGAGCTCAGCTGGCTGGGAAGATCTTTGCTAAAACACAGCTTTTTAAACCCAAATAATCACTTTGCAGCTGAAAGTGCAAAGAGGACAAGAGGAGCTGCTGCCAAGGGGGATGGTGATGCCTCCTCCAGCAGTGTGGCTGGGTTGTTTTGCAAAGGGATTTTGTCCCTTTCCCCACTATTTTTCCTAAGGATATTTGCAGAAAACATGGCATTTGTGCCTCTAGAGCTGCTCCTCCTGCTCTACCAGCAGCCCACAACACTGGGGCTAGCCTCCCCAGCCTGTACTTCCCCCTCAGTGCTGGGCACAGCCCCACTCACCTACAGACTCCACTGAATCCACGTTATCCACATAGTCTCTCTTCCCCAGGTAGAGGGAGAGCTGGAAGCAGCACATGGGAAAAGGGAGGAAGGAAGAAAGTTAATGTTTGTCATGGAATTGGCCCAAATTTCGAAGCCCTGAATTGTGTCCTGGGGTTTGTCACCAGGCTGGACCAGAATCACCTCGAAGGGGTCATATCAGGGTATTTTTTAATTTCTGTTTTGAATAGCCAATCCTGCAGTAGCATCGTGGCAGGTCCAGGAATCAATCAGATTTCAAAGGGAAGGCAGACCCAGCCTGGATCCTGTGGGCAGATCCAGCCCAACCTAAACCTTGGGCTGGCCACACAAGGGGACAGGGCACAGAGCCTCACCTTGCTGTTGGGGCTGGTCTTCTTGAAAACCCTGTGGAGAAAACAGAACTGGATGTTTGGGAATGCCTTGGACAGGGCTGGATGGGGCACAGGGAGATGATGGGCTGCCCTACAAATGTGCTGCACCACCAAGAGCCACACCAGGGTGTCCAGTCGCTGGGGAATTCCATGTCCTGCAAATTCAGGGCCAAACCCACACTGTGTGGCTGCCCAGGTGTGCTCCTGAGCTCAGGGTGACCATGGGGGAATTCTGTGTCTTAAGGGCAAGTGTGAAAGGCCAGCGCAGAGCTCCATGACAGCCCCATGGGAGCTCACATTCCAGCCCCTGGGAGCAGCAGCTGGGTCGAGCTGGGGTCTCACTTTCCCCCTCTGCTCCTGCCCTGCTCCATCCCAATTCCAGGTAATAAATCAATAAAGATACTTACTTTGATCCGTCTGCCATTTTAACTCAGTGCAGGAATGTCCACGAGGAAATCTGTGGGGAGAAACAGGGAAAGCACTGGATGAGGTGGTGGGGAAGAGACAACTCCAGCCATGGCCACCATCCAACATCCTGCAGAGCCCTCAGGATTTGGTGCTGCCACCTCTGCAGAGCTTGGGAGCTCCAGGTTTGGCTTTGGGGCAGCGCATGGGAGCTGAGCCAGCTCCTTGTTCCTGGCCAAAAAGGTGATGAAGGGAGAGAGTGTTGCTCCAGAAAAGAGGAAGCACAGGGGTGATTTCCAGTGGATCAGGTTCAAGACTGGGAAAGGCAAGAAAATGAACAAAAAGCCTTATAGAGCCTCAATGTTAATAGTTTTTCCTGTCTGCTGGAAATTGGCTGTCGTGGCTCAGAGGTAGGAATGGGCTTGTTTTGTCCTGTCACTCACAGGAAGGTGAAGAAAACCCATGGAGAAAGGTGAAGGGAAGCTGAACTGCCCCATGGAAAGAGGGGTCTCAGGGCACAGGATCCCTCCAGTCCCAGCCCTTTGTGCTGGGAGTGGGGCTGGAGCTGCCCAGCCCTGCCCAAGCTCTGCTGGCTCGAGCCCTGTCCAGAAGGAAGCTGTAAGATCCCACTGATCAGAAGCTGATTCTCCGGGATATTAAATGGGATGAGCTCAGCCTCTTAGGGATAGGCAGCTCTGACATGAGCACAGCTTAAGCCCAGGCAGGATTTTAAGCCCCAGGGGCACGTGGACAGTGTTGCCTCTGAACACAACCTCAGGCAAGCTGGTGAGAGAGAAGAAATGGCCATGGGAGTGAGGGGATGATTCTCTTCCCCACAGGAATACAAGGGATTAGTGCCAAGCTCAGGACCTTTGAGGTCCTTGGGTGCTGTGGGATGTGAAGTTTGGGAAACCTCACAGGGTGAGAAGATGCAAAAGGAGTGGGAGCAGAGTTTGGCTCCTTCCAGACCCCAGGAATTGGGGATGAGGCAATGAAAGGTGGAGGGAGAAGCGCTGAACTCCTGCTCTGCATCTCCCAAGCCCCAGAGATGGAACTCAGCCCCTCCCTGGCTCGGCTCAGCTGTCCCACACCAGTATCCAACCCCTCCACTGCATCCTTTGGTCACACTGGAATCCTTTTTATCCACATTTTTCCCATTTCTCAGCTGTAAACCACCCACCTTCCAGCCACAACCCAGCACCAGTGCCCTTGTTCTGTTTTCCAAACCCTCAGAACCCCGAAGCCGTGGCGGGGCCAGGGCAGCAGAGCAGGCAGCACTCACCTGGCAGGAGGATGGACAGACAGACGCTCTCCTCTTCCTCTCCCAGCAGCTCCCAGTGCCACCCAGTCACTACAGGCTGCTCCCAGTGCTGCAGCTTCTTATATCCCCCCTGGCTGTCCCTCCCCTGGCATCTGATCTCGCCCACTCGGCCTTGGCCGGGGCTGGGGGGGGTTGTGTGTGTCTGTGGGCCAGGAGAGGGACTTGAGGGAAGAATCCTATTAGTTGATTAATTGGGGAGACGCTTCATGAGTAAGAGTGGGCTATAAATACATCTCTTGCTGGAGCCCTGGGAAAGCAGCTTAGAGGGATTGGCAAAGAGGGCTTAGGAGCGAGGTGATGGTAATTGAGGTGGAAGCTCTGCTCCTGGTGGGAAGGAGTGTGGATTCCCACAGGGGCTCTCTGCAGCTGCTCCCATGGCAAGGGGACACGGGATGGGTCTGGGCATGGGGCTGGATGGAGATGGCAGAGGAGGAACCAGCCTGGAGTCCTCCCTCACCTTCCTGGCTGGATAACAGAAGGATGGAGGCACAAGCAGCTTCCTGCATGGCCAAGGTGCCTATGAGGTTGCTCACCTAGAGGTGACCTGCCATGGCCCAGGGCACAGAGGACACCCTCCCCACGGGGACACTGCTGTACAAGAGGATGGGAAGGCAGGATTCACCCTCCCTGAACCAAGAGGGAAGGACCAGCCACCCCTGGTGGGTGGGACACAGAGCTGCCAGTGTCCCCAGCACAGCCTGCCCAACCCAGAATCATTTCATAACTGCAGGCTGGCCTCGCCTGACCCAAGTAGTGCATCACTAACCCCAGGTTTGCTGCAGCAGAGAGGACACTGTGGAAAGCCCAGAGTGGCTCTACCTTATGGCTGCCAGGCAAGCAGAATTCTCACTGCAGCCCTGTCCCAGCCACAGCCATTGTGTGGGATACCCACCATGGGACTGGCTCTAGGGTGGGGCACAAGGACAGCCCAGGGCAGCTACAAACTGCTCCAGCAAAGCTCCACTCACCCTCCTCACCTCCAGCACCACTCAAGCCCTTCCTCTGGGGCTGCACTCAGTTCTGGCTCAACCCCCAGAGCTGAGCACTGGGGTCAGGATATCCCTGTAGGAGCTGTGCTTCCTCCAGGCCTCTGCATCAGCTCAACAACATTTATCACCTGGGTACCAACTCCTCCCAAACACAGCTCACCTGCTCCCCCAGGGCCACTGGGAGCCATGCCGTGCCATGCCATGCCATGCCATGCCATGCCATGCCATGCCATGCCATGCCATGCCATGCCATGCCAGCAGCCCCACTGCCAGGGCTTTAGCTGCCAGCACACGTTCCCCGGGGCCGAGACTTGTGATCTCTTTAACTGCACACAGGAGAGCTGCTTAGGTTCCAGATTAACTGGTGCTATTTCTGCCACAGTCAGGGGGACACGTGAACTGTGACCTTCACACTGGCAGGTGAAAGAGGAGGAGGAAGAGGAGGAGGAGGAGGAGGCAGCCCCACTTGGACACCCTCGGCCTGGCCAGGGCCCCCAGCTCTGTGCCTGGGGCACCTAATCCTGAGCTCTGTTTGTGTTTGTGGCTCTTTGTTACGCTCTTAATGAAAGCCCTGTGACCGGGGCCACGCACTGGCTCTGCAGGGTCTGCACAGTGTGGGGAGGGGGAGAGCAGGGCTCACCTTGGGTCCCTTCAGCTCAGCCTAATCCCAGCTGGGTGGCTTCAGCCTCCCCATTATCTGGGGAGCAGATAATTCCCCTCCCCAAAGCAGTGGGGAGATGGACAGAGCCCACATCCCTTCCCACGCTCTGCCTGTGCTCCAAACCAAGCACTGGAGAAGGAAGCAGAGTTCAAAATAATCGGGAAATTAAAGAGGCTTCCTCCTTTTTCCTGTGTAATGAATGGCCAGAGGTTCCTGTCATCTCCTCACCCCACCATCCCTCCAGGCACAGTCACTGTGTGGAGCACTGCTCAAGCAGCCACTTCCAGAGGGACAGGACCCCAGGGGGGCTGGTGGAGCTGGTGGCTTCACCCCCTGTCCCAACGGCCAGTGCTGCCTTCCCGGGGAAGGGCCATGGGGCCTCCTGCATCCACAGGCTCTGGAGGGAGCCTTGGTGCAGCCAGAGCCCCCAGGTGAGCCCACATTGCCCTCCCAACCTCACCTGTGCCCAGTGCTGGCCGAGCTGCCAGGTGCCTCTGGCTCGGTGCCAGCTCTGCCTCTGGCACTGCACACCACAGCCACCTTACATAAACACTCACAGCAGGCACTGCTGATTTCCCAAAGCCCTTCAGAGCTCCTGGGCTTTCTCCCTGATCCGGATGAAGCGGCGTGGACGGCATTAATCAGGAGACAGGCACCTCCACGCCTGCCAGGAATTACTGCCGTGCTGTTAAGTAACGGGATGGAGCAGCACTGCTGGGGCTGGGGCTCCAGCAGGATGGGTGCCTCCAGCCCCACACAGACCTGCCACCGCTGTCTGTCCCCACGGCAGGGGCTGGGCAGAGTTGCACCCTCTGCTGTGTGACCAGAGCACCAGCCCAAAATAAACCGGGCGGCCCAACTTCTCACTGGCCCAGCCACAGGTTCCTCTCCAGGCTGGGAAGGCAGGAGGAAGCCTCACAGGGGGTTTTGGCACTTCTGGGCTGGGGCAGGAGGTGGGGGAACAGTCCCTTGGCACTGGCCCAGGGCTGCAGGGATGTGCAGTGGTGCCAAGGGTGGGGAACAGTCAGGAGCGTGGCTTGGCACAGAGCTCCATCCTCCTCCTTATCCTCATCCTCCTCCAGCAGGAATCTGCTTCTCCATCTATCTCCTGAGCAGCTCTGGAGCTGCCAGACACTTGGACAGCAGACGGTGACTGCTGCTCATCTGTAATTAATTGCTGTTAATCACCCTGGCAGCTCGAGCCACCACACGCATGTGGGCCTGCTCGAGCTGCCAGGCCACGAGGAGTTAAACCTCTGGGGCTGCACCCAGGAACTGCGGTGCTGCCCAAACCCTGTCCTGCTGGGAAAAGTCTCCATCCTTCCTGACCCCTTCCCGGGAGCCCCTGAACCCAAATTCCCTCCCCGCTGCGGGCAGGGCACACTCAGGTGTGGTGACATGAGTGCCACTGTGGGTGCCCGGTGCCCGCAGCTCTGTCTCTCTCCGCCAAGGGCAGAGCTCGTCCCCAGCTCAGGTCCCCAGGAGTGGGCAGCTCAAGCCCTGCCCCAAACATATTTCAGGAGTTTTCTGCCATCCTGCACCACCGGCAGCGCCTCCTCCCAGCGTTCTGCCATCCCGCATCCCGGGGAGGACGCGCAGGGAGCGGGTGGAGGCAGAGCGGGACTGTCCCCGCTGTCCCCGCAGTGCCGAGCCCCGGTGGCCGCTGCCTGGCCCCGGTGGCGGGGCTGGAGGAGGAGCGAGGAGGCGGCTCCGGGGCTGGGGAGAGCGGGGCGCGCAGAAGGAGGAAGAGCGCGGAGCCGAGCGAGCGGCACCGAGCGGGGCCGGCCCGGGGGACGGGGACCGAGGGCATCGCCGAGGGCACTGCGTGACCCCGATGGGCAGCGTGGCGGGCAGGGGGCCGCTGTGACCCACCGGGGAAGCCCGGCAGCATCGCGGCCCCGCTCCCGCCCGGCTGAACCCCAAAACTCAGCTCGCAGCCCACAGCACCCCACAGGAGCCACGGGAGCCCCGCACGGCGGCTGCGAGGCACGGTGAGTGCGTGGGGTGAGGACAGACCCCTGGGTGCCACCGGCATGGCCTGTCCTCGCCGCACACCCCGCAGGATGGTGGCCCAGGGCCGCTTTTCCTGTGACTCCCCCAGCAGGAGAGATTTGCTCGCTGATCTGCCCCCGTGTTCCCTTGCAGGCTGGAGCCTCCTCGATGAGGATCATCCGGACCCCCAGCCTCCCCCAGCCGCCCCCCGGGTGCTCCTGCCACGCTGCCCGGCCGCAGGGCACCGTGTCCCCATGAGCATCACCTCGGTGGCTCCCTGTCACCTGCCGCGACCTGCAGCCAGCGCCACGCCCGGGTACCGGGGACGCGGTGTCCCCACGCCGCCCCCTCCTTGCCGTGCCCCAGCAGCCCCCGTGAGTGCCTTTGTCCCCTGCTGAGCTGGATGCGGCGCGGGGACGGGGACACGGCCCTGCAGGATGGCGGCAGCGCGGTGGTACCACCGCGACATCAGCCAGGTGGTGGCCGAGGAGCTGCTGGCCAAGGCTGGGCGGGACGGCTCCTTCCTGGTGCGGGACAGCGAGTCGGTGAAGGGGGCATATGCCCTGTGCCTCCTGTGAGTCCCTGCCCCCCTCTGCCCGTGGCTTCTGTGCCTTTGTCCCCTGCCTGCCTCCCTCTGTGCCTCTCCCTGCTCCAGGCACCGCCAAAACCTCGTGGAAGAGCTGCAGGGATGTGGGTGGGGTGGCAGCTCCCTGGCACAGGGGTTTGGGTGATCCCCGGGCTGGGAGCAGGGTGAAGGCTGGGCCCACAGCCTTGCCCAGCCCCATGGCTGCTGGATGGACAACCCCAAATCCAGGGCACACTGAGCTGTTTTGGGCTGCCTGCTGGCCTGTGAGCATCTCCCACGCTGGGGATTTGGGGCTACAGCCCCCAACATGGGGCCACAAGCCCCAAGGTGTGGCCTCTTGCCATCCCCACACCTGGAACCAGGTGTGCAGCCCCGGAGAGCGCTGCTGCCTGCCCCCTTCCTGCTCTGCCCCCTTCCTGCTCTGCCCCCTTCCTGCTCTGCCCCCTTCCTGCTCTGCCCCCTTCCTGCCTGCTTGTCACGTGTCTGTGCGGGCAGGTTTGGCAGGATGCACCCCTTTCCTTCACTGGCCTGGCTCTTTGTGTGGGACAAATTGCAAATTAGGGTGCTGGGGGTGCGGGGCACGAGCCAGAGTCCGGGCTGGTGGCACAGGACGGTGGCACAGGCAGGGATGTGCACTGGCCCCACAGGCAGCATGGCCCAAAGCCAGGGCACTGTGGGTAGCCCAGTGGGTGCTGGGGGTAGCCCAGTGGGTGCTGGGGCAGTCACAGCTGTCCTGGGCTGTTTGGGAGCAGGGAGACACTGCACATCCT